AGTTGATTTGGGGAAGGTTGATGCTCCTCAGAGCACATTGAGACCTACTCATAAGCAGAGTAGAATGGGTTTTAAGAAACCTCTACCTTTCACGGCAGGTATGCCACCTCCCTTGCCAAAGACCATAAGATTTAAGTTTATGAAAGAACTTAGTCAATTGGGACCTATTTCGGAGTTTTCAAGGAAAAGGAGGAAGGAATTAACAGACATCACTAATGGTGGAGAGGATTCTCCTATTGATTCTGGCGGCGGGGACGCTTCCCCATTTGTTTTTTAATGTCATCAATCCTGATATGGAACTGCAGGGGAGCCCGGAAGAAACAAACGGGCTATTACCTGGTAGCCTCGTTGGTAACAATGAGGTTTGTTTTGTGGGACTGGTTGAAACCATGGTGATGGACATGAGCAGACTGGAGGTGGATCGTTTGATTGGGAATGAATGGGAATTCTTTCATTCCCCTGCAAATGGTCGATCTGGAGGATTGATTGCCTTGTGGAAGAAGAATGTTGCTAAGTTTGAAGTTATTGGCAACATGGAGTAGGTGCTTATTGAGAATCTTACTTTTCCTAATATGCAAAGGTGGACGGTTGCTGTGGTATATGCTAGTAAAGGTTATCATAGCAGACGGTTGCTGTGGGATACTATTAGTCCCTTGGTTTCTTCTGATCTCCCTTTGATTGTGGGGGGAGATTTCAATTGCTGTTTAAACCAAAGCTAGAAGAAGGGTGGGAGGAGATTTAATTTCTCAGTGGGGGCTCAGGAGATGGCTCAATTCATGGTAGATAATGATCTACATGATTTGGGATTTTTGGGTCCCAAATATACTTGGTCTAATAATAAATCTGGGCTAAGCAAGATTTGGGTGAGGCTTGATAGAATTCTAATGAATTCTGAAGGACTGAGACAGGCACCGGTTGCAGTTGTTAAACATTTGGTTCAGCTGACTTCAGACCACTGTCCGTTGATGGTGAACCTTTTTGCTGAGAAACCGAGACCTGGAAACAGATGGATACGGTTTGAAGATATATGGATGACTTACCCTGTCACTTGGAGGCTTGTTTGGAAGAATTGGAACAGGGAGGACTTTGGAATGCCTGATGAGGTGGTGAATCACAAGTGCAGCAGAACTATGAAGGCTTTGTTCTTTTGGAGTCGTAACCGACTGAAAGAACTTAATGAGTTGAAAATTTCTCTGGAAAGCCGTATTGAAGAACTTCAACTGGTGGATTGTTCTTCTAATGGGATGAATGAGGAACAGGAACAAGAACTCAGATTGAAGGCAATTGAGTTGAACACTACTTTAGCTCGGCTTGCAACCTGATGGAAGCAGAGAGCAAAAGCCAGATGGATTGATGAAGGTGATACGAACTCACATTTTTTCCATTCCTTTGCGTCTGCTCGGAGGCGAGGTAATCGTATCATAGAAGTTGTAAATTCTAATTGGGAGAGGATTGTTGATCCGAACCTCATTTAGGAGGAATTTTGGAATTTCTTCATGCTGAAGTGGAGAGACAGGCAGGTATCCCTGGCCAATTGGCCTGAATTCAGTAACCATGATATGATTCCTGCGCAGTACAGTGATAGTATGGAGGCTGAAATTACTGAGTCTGAAATCCGTCAAGCTGTGTTTAGTATGGGCAGTAACAGAGTGCCAGGGATTGACGGTATAACCTCTTCCTTTTTGAAATTTTATTGGGAGATTATAAAGAAAGACGTGACTAGTGCTATTTTGCATTTTTTTGACACTAATGTGATGTGCCAGAACTGGAAGGAAACCCTTGTGGTGTTAATTCCAAAAATGGAGAATGCTAATATGCCATCAAAGTTTAGGCCGATAAGTTTATGTCAATATTTTTATAAGATTGTTGCTAAAGTATTGATTAACCGCCTAAAACCTGTGCTGAGTACTATCATTAGTGAGGAGCAGGGGGCTTTTGTTCCAGGTCGATCTATATCCAGTCATGGGCTGATGGCACAGGAAATGATGAGTAAGTTTAAGTACTCTAACCAAAAATATGGACTTATGGCTTTGAAGATTGATATGGAACAGACGTACGGTTGTATGTCATGGGAAACACTGCAGGAAGTTATGAATTTGATGGGCTTCAAGAAGAGATTTATCACTTGGGTTGTGCAGTGTATTTTTGAGCCAAAGTTCACTTTGCTGATGAATGGGAACAGGACAAGGTGGATTGATGCTAAGAGTGGGCTGCGACAAGGATGTCCCTTGTCGCCGTATTTGTTTATCATTTGATCTGAGCTTCTGTCCAAATCTATTAAACAGCGTGGAGTGCAGCTTGGAGTCCAGGTGGCTAGGAACACAGTAAGTATTTCTCACTTACTGTACGTTGATGATATCCTTGTTTTTGCAGAATCCAGCAGGTGCAATGACCGTCGGATTATGGATCTATTGGGAGACTATTGTTGCTGGACTGGACAGAAAATTAATTGTGGCAAGTCTGTTATTCTTTTTAACAGAAAGTGCCCAAGTTGGAGGAAGAGGATGATTGCTAGAATGATGGGATATAAAAAGGTTGATTCCCTGGAATACCTTGGCCTTCCTCTTGTCATGAGGAGGTTGAATGGGGCTGATTTCTCCAAAATTATGAGAATTGCATTTGAGAAGATTAACCTCTGGGGCAAAAAACATCTTTCACTTGCTGGCAGGGCTCTCTTGGTTAGAATTTCATTATTATCTGTTCCTATGTATGCTATGACCCATACTTCTATTCCTAATGGAGTTCTTATGGCTATTGAAAAAATGGGGAGGCGGTTTTTATGGCAGAAAGATGCTAGCAGTCGTGGGATGCATTATATTGGGTGGAAGGAATTGTGCCAACCAACGGAGTACGGGGGGCTTGGCTTTCACTGTCTTACTCGGTGGAAGGGGGCCTTGCGTGCACGGGCGGTGTGGGATCTCTTTCAGAATAAGGATTCTATTCTTTACAAGGTGTTGATGGCAAGGTATGGTATGAAGTTATGGGAATATGATCATGGGAAGAAAGTCTCTGTTACTTGGAAGGTGATCCAAGATGGTGCTAAGGTGTTGAGATTGATCCTCAGGTGGAGCATTGTGGATGGAAGCCAAATTGATGTGATGCATGATGTGTGGATTATGAATCGTAATATTGCTAAGTGGCCAACATTTGTTAACATTGAAGAAGTGGAAGATATGAAGGTCTGTAACTTGCTGAATAACTCATTTCAGTGGAATGTAGAGATGGTTAAGCATTGTTTTGGGAATACTATGGCTGAACGTATCTTAGCCATTAATATCTCCAATGAGAGTCAGGAGGATAACCCAGAACTCATCTATTCCAGGTTGAGTATGAAAGTTGCGGCAATGGCTTATAGAGATAGTGAGGAGAAAGGGAACTATGAATTCAGTTGGTTGAAGCAACTGAAACTGCACCCACGGGAACATTTCTTTTGGTGGAGACTATTGAGGGATGCCATCCCAACCAATTACTGGTTGAATAGAAGAACTTTAGCTGATACATCTCT